GCACCCGCTCCCGTCCCGTGTCGAGACGGGTGCGTCACCAAAAACGAAGAGTCCGCGCAACTTAGATTAAGATCCCTCGAGTACCACATGTTTTCAAATCAGCCCATGAAACCCATATATTCCCCCAAATCTACCTGATCGTTCTCGGGTCCTCAATTTTGGTCTCTTGTAGACATAAGACATCAACCCTTCATTTCTTTATAAGAGATTTCAAAGTAGTACTCTTATTATTATTGTTTAGACCATGTAAATTCCAACTAAGTAGCTTCACTTTCATTTAGAATGAGCTTTTTAGACCTGTCTTTTTCCTTCTTCCCACTGCCCTCCCCATGCCAACTTTTTAAGTTCAGTTTTCCCTTTATTCTTCCCCTTTTTAATTTCCTCCAATTTCATTAAGAATCTTACAAGCAAGGTATGTGTTAAGTGATGCATGGAAGGGTACACTTCCTCATTGATGTCGCAACAAGTGTCTTGAGGCTAATATGATGTATCCACAAATAAGGGAAAGAACCCACAAGGCATATAGAAGGGTGCAGGTACATACTTTCCATTAATGGGGTAAAGTTGGGTAATCAAGGTCACTTTGATATGTTGTTTTAGTAAGAAAAGACTTACCAACTAGAGGAAATGAGGTAAAAGAAGTTAAAGATGATCTCTAAGCTAAGATGATCATAGTTACCGTAAAGGAGTTCATACCAGCCTCATAAACTCATTTAGAGCAAAATTGTTAATAAAAGGTACGAAACTACCAACACTAACGCAACGGATTTCGGTATCAACAACTATAAACTAAAAGATGACGGGGAGTTCATGACTCTGTGTTATAACGGGAAAGTGAGACTACTAGTGAAGATGTGATGGTGTGGTTAAGTCAAGAAACACATACAATGATACCACGAGTTTATGGGAGATAGGGAGCTATGTGACTTAGTAAGGGTGTTAATGATGCATTTAGAATGAAACGAGACGAGGAACGAATATCCAAGTCACAAAGAGAAAGCAGTACCAACACTTCGACTAGGCCGAGAGGGTAATCTAAAGGTAACAAACAGAATAGCCTACCCAAATACACAAGAACGGGTTATGAGTATATCACAGGGGCATCAAAAGAGATGATAAACATTTGATACGAATTGGGCATGCTTACTATGATATATCTCAAGCTACAACTCAAAACGACATTAATTAGTAGATATAGTATTGGTAATAACATGAGTTACTTACCGATGATTGACTCAAGTAGGGCAAGTGTTATATTCAAACTTAAGGACAATGAAAGGTCGTTTACAAATAGTTTGAAAAGGGCTTAAAGTTTCAAAGGAAGTCCAATGAGGGCAAGGGACATGTTTGAATAGAAGTTCATGAAAGGCGTTAAGGGTACTTTGGAAGTGTTAAGCAATGAAAAGGTGCATGAGAGTTTTCATAAAGGGAGTAAAATGGACCCTTAGTTCCTACTAGACCCTACGAGCATTACAAGAAGAAAAGGAATGTGGCCTTAGAATGGCCTTACCCTTAAGGTTGTTTTCAGTCGACTCAATGTGTCGTAGGTCAATACTACAAGAATAGGTGCACAACCCATCGCTTGATATTCCTTCGAAACAGAAGAGCATATAAAGAGGATCACCAGTAAGAAAATCCTACGTTGCAAATTTGGATAAGACAGGTTACGAGTTATAATAGATTCAAGAAAATTATTGCAAAACTCAATTCCTAAGAAGCCATGTACCAAAGAAAGGTGGGTAAAAAGTAAAATGCCTTCATTAGCTCCAAAGGTACATGTATGTAAGCTTTCACATATGAAGAAGTCCAAGTTGTATCCATTTATGTTCGATTAGGTAAGAATTCATCTTCACGTAAAGAAGTGTAATAATGATGTTGCGTGATTGTTTACGGAGCTCAAATGTATATAGCTCAAATGTATGTAAAGGTAACGTTCATGTGATTCTAGAAATAAAGTTCATGCTTTGCATTGTCTCTTGAGTGTAGATGTTCATGTGAGAAAGCACGGGAAATAATATATTATTGGTGTACGTTAAGTGTCTTACAATAACCCTATTTATATGTTAGGCTTACCTAGTCTTACAGACTAGCTGCCATCACGACATCCTACGGTGGGAGATTGGGATCGTGACATAATCATAACACTGGAACTTCCATAACCCATGTTTTTAGACCCAAAAACATCAAATCCCAGACACATCGTTGGATTGAAGAGAGGTCTAGCAAATTATCACCAAATAACAGGAAGAATCAATTGTAACTCGCTGAAACAGACGAAGGAAACACTGTAGTCGCCGGAAAATTTACTGTAGCTGCCGAAAAATTAGTGGTCGCCGGAAAAATCCCAAAGTGATCGGAATGAAAGAAAATAGTACGGGTAGGGTCGGAATTACTAGACGAGACAATTGTCCGGAAGAAACCTTTTCAAAAAATGGTTGGAAAAAGTGTCACGCGCCGGCGCATGGGTCTGACGTGCCTCCGGCGTCAAAGGTTCTTCAGACACGTGAGGGCGCATGGCTAGGGTTCTGCCAATGTGGTTTTTTGGGGTTTGGTCGCTTGAGAATTCCGCATCTGCTGGTGGTGTTACTTTTCATAACAAAAAACCACCGGAGAAGAGGTGACGCAAAAACATCCTGAAATTCACCAGAAAAAAGGCACGGTGACTGTCGCGGACTCGTTGGTTACCGCACAGCGGAGATTTCTCACTAGATGTATGTTATTGATGTACGTTAAATGTCATACAATAGCCCTATTTATATACAATGTTTACATATACCTAAATCCTTCTATACTATTTCTAACAATTCAAATATGAGGAGAGAAGCTACATGGTGTTTATTATGTGTACTTAAGTGTATCGAGTTGCATTTGAGACGAAGAGCGACTATGGTAATATGTTTGAAGAGTAAAATGCCAAATGGGCCATAGTCAAGCATCTTATTGTGTATTGAGTTGTTGTGGCATTGGTTGCTGCCATGGATGGCCTTATTATTGTGTTTCTTATGGCTCGCTGACAGGTTGAAGGTATTTTGGATAGTCTTGTATACAAAGAAAACTATGCCGAAATTTTTAAGAATTTGGGGAGTTAGCCGAATTTAGAGGCCGTAAGAAAGTTAAAGTTTTGTGAAGGAGGTCTATGGCCCATTTAGGGTCATAGACCTAAAAGGAGGATAATTCTATAAGTAGGAATGACTTGCGAGACATTCGAGAAGTCGACTAAATTTTGAGACTCTAAAGGAAATGAACTGGTAGCAAAGAAACCTAAGAGCTTGTTCTACGGATGAAGAAGGCTAAGTTCCAACATTCGAGGAAGAATGTTACTAAGCAGGTAAGAATATAAAGCCCTGTAAAATTTCGTAAGGTTTTAAAGACTTTATGGTGCACTAATGATTAATTAGGTCATCGTTTTGCGTGTCAGGGCTAACCACGAACTAAGAAAATATTATACGAGCATGGTTATATATATATATATATATATATATATATGTGTGTGTGTGTGTGTGTGTGTGTGTGTGTGTGTGTGAAGGTTTGGGCGTGACAAAATATAAAGCCTCGTAATATTTCGTAAGGCTTTAAAGACTTTATGGTGCACTAATAGTTAATTTGGTCATCAGTTTACGTGCCAGGGCTAACCATGGATTGAAGAAAATATTATACGAGCATAATAATATGTATACATATATATATATATATATATGTGAAGGTCTGAGGCGTGACACATACGATTCAAGAGAAAGGGGGAAAGGAGATAAATTCTAGAAATCTAAAGATAAATAGTCTATAGGACCCTACACAACTTCTATAAACACCAAAGGTTAAACAGTAGCCAAGCCCGAAAAGGGACAAGTTCTGACTTATTCATGTAACAGTGCCTTGTATTTCTTGCTTGGCAGAATTATGCTCTAGACTGAATTAACTAATCGAAAAAAAAAATTCGCATTCTAGACTGAATTAGCTCACAAATCTAAGGGTGGCCCACGGTCGCAGTTCAAGACCTTTCACGTTTTGCAACCAAAAATTGAGGACTACTAGGGATTTGTAGAACTTGCAATAACCACTTTTTCTCAATAGATAGTCCGGATCTATGTTGCACGGACTCTCCAAAAGTGCTGCCGCACCCGTGTCGGATCCTCCAAAAATGCACTAAATTTGGAGGATC